TTTTATTTTTTGCAGTTTATGGAAGAAAACAAGTCCTGACATTGATCTAGTATGCTTTTAACCCCACGTGTGTGTGGTGTGTGTGTGTGTGTGTCTGCACGTGCATCACACTGATGATCTCACTCATCACATGACCTCATAGTTTCCCAGAAAGCAGAGACGCTGGTCGTCAGTCAGAGTCAGAGCTGTCAGGTGCTAAGAACCCAAATGCAGACTCTGGGAACAGGGTTGGTTCAGTTCGAGGATTTATTTAACAACAAAGGGCAAAAACACCAAAAACTATAAACCAATGAAAACACCAGGGAAATACACACGAGGAGAGCAGGTACAAGACACAGGTGTAACACATTAGGGTGCACATTACATCGCAACTGGCTTGTTTAGCCTGCGGCCCTACACATGCATAACTGTGTGTATACATGTATGTACAGTACATGCAAGTATGTGGAAGAGCTTAGTACCAGTATATTTGTGTGAAGTGAAGTATTCAGTTTTGGCCGAGCAGCTTCTCAGAGAATTGACTAAAACTGAGTGACACACATTGATATTGTGGATAATAGCAAACTGAGAAACAGATTAATTGAGCACAGAATAGATTTTAGTTTGCTCAGGTTACAGTATTATTTGCTCAAAAAAAATTTCTTCAAAATATAATTTGTGTGTTTGCAAAATGAATTTGTCTGTGAACAAAAAGTCCCACTGTGGCTCAGGAATGAGGCACAAAAATAACTCCACACTTTTACAGTAATTACTATAAATGTTTGCTTAGAATATAAACTACAATCATGGTTTCCCTTTGACTGATATGTAGTTCGTGATATAGACACGTTTGTGTTTGTCTATTTTACACTCAGGCCAGTAAATGTGGCACTGTTCACATGAAGCATCAAGAAATGAACATTTCCTTGAACCACTTTGCTGAGAAATTAAATTCAAAACCTCCGACTCTGCCGGACTTACCTCCGGCACCGGGCAGTAGATTTCTTCGAGCAGACATGATTTAAAGCCTGGGGGAAGTTTCCGTATTTAAAGCAAAGTTCGCGCCTTTCGGCCAAATGCCCGTATGTGCGCAGACCATTAAAGCAGACAGATGTGCGCACCTCTGGTTTTTTCCCTCCACTCCCCGTTTCCTGTTCGTCCGATTTCCCGAAACTGTCACAGGTATGAAAAGTTTCTACGTTTGTTTGTTCCCCACTTTACTTTTCTTCTGCTGTTATTCACATTATTCTGGAGAAAGACTCGGCCGGGTCTGGGCCCAGAGATCCGGCTGAAATGCGGTGCGACCGGTTTCCCGAGTCCCAACAACCCACAACCAGGCCGGAAGCAGCCACCCGAGCCGGACGGCCATTAGACCTACTGCTCTGGCGCTGGGCCTGAACGGCGTTTGTTAATTTCCCGCTATTTTTCCCACGTCAGCCCTTCACTTAGATACAGGATATTTAATATCATTAGAGTAAATGTTCTTCTGTTGGCCTCATATTCAGTTCAGAGTCATTAAGACATTTACTTGGTCTTGTTGTGGATCCATGTCTGCTCAGTTAGAGCAGCACATATTATTATGGTCTGGATTTAAATGTAGATTTCTCATCTCAACATTAAATCTGTTCCTTTACTACGTTCATTCCCCACCTGTCATGTAAATCCAAAATAGTCACATCAGACAATTTTTGCCTCTTTTAATGTGACAGTAGTGAAAATTAGTCTTTGTCAAAATCTGTTGTGTTGTGGTTGTGCCGTGGGCAACTGAGAAGACGTCAAATGTCTTGACACAGTAAACAGCATGTAGCTGTTGGAATGGGCATGACCCCTGAATACTGACTTTAGTTGGGGATAAACCCTGAGTGTTTACACCTTCTGGCTCCGCCTCTGTTTGGGGCCATTATTAAAGGAATCATGTTTTTTTTTTTTTGGGACATGGTGACATCAGCACTGACACCTGACCCGCCGTTACTGGTCACTAATATTTGTAAAAATCTGTCACACCTAACTGCGCCACTTCAGAGTAGGTCGTATCAAACTGGACTGATAGAATAAAAACATCCTGACATTTGTCTTTAGTGGCTGATCTGTTTTCAAAGGGTCAGTTCACAAAGGGAAAAAATAAAACACATTTTCTGGCAGTGGATCTGCGTGGTTCAGGGCCTCCAGGGAAAATGTGTTTTCTTGTGATTTTGTGGACAGAAACCACTTCAGCCCGGCCCGCGGTGCAGAGAGCCGTTACTGCAGGTCCTTACGCCTGAAATGGATGGTGAGGTCAGCGCTTCATTAGTTTGTGACTGTGATTGGCTCGCAGGTATAAGGCTCTGCCCGGTGACTTATGGCTGTAATTTAGCCCTGATTACTTACACCATTACTTTAACTCTAATTAGACTGTCAGTCAGAGGAGGGGGGGGGGGCAACCTGACTGTGAGGCTGATGACAAATATGTTGGTTTCTACAGATCACACTGTGTTAAAGCAGAGGAACAGGTAAAGTCACAAAACATGATCAGAATAACAGGAAGTGACTCATATTTAAAAAATAAACCTATTGATTTCTTGATTGTGATGCCGCAGTGTATTAATCAGCTTGCTGTGGCCCCTGTGTGGGATAATGAATCACTGCCTAGGCTGCGGCCCTGACCCCGAGGTTACGCTTTTATAGACGACCACTTCATCACACAACAATCTGCCCGGCGACTGCAGACAAAAAAAAAAAAATACACAACCTCCTCCGATGACCTCGCCTCGTGATGCGTGGAAGGAGGTCGGAGAATAAAATAACCAGGAAATAAAAAGAAGAAAGAGACGTCGACTTATAGCCGTTCATCGGTTTATAATGTCTTTATGGAGATGTGGTTCCACCTCATAAAGGTCTGACATGGAGGAAAGAGACTCTTCAGTCTGAGTCACTGGGTTTAACACATTTATCAGTTTTTTTATTTGTTGGTTTTTCTTCAGCACTGACATCAAATGTTTTTCTTCTTTCAGTTTTTACAATATGACGCTCAGCGATGACGTCCATTATTAGTAACAACTTCACTTTCAACAATCAACATCATTTTTTTCTAAGATCAAACAGACATTTTTCAGATTTCACATCTTTGTTTATGGATGTAAAAGAAAATGTAAATTATAACTAATATATCTAAAATGACAAAACATACAAAAATAAAAATGTGTCTTGTGTTTTAGTGCTGCAGCTCCACAGTGTTTTTGCTGTGTCTTTTCTACACGCTTCAGTCAGGACACAGGTGTTTGGTAGAAGTTGTTACGTCACTTAAATGTAACTCATTTTGACTCATTAATGACTCACCTGATTTAATTATTAGGCTACAACAAGTAACTAATGTAATAATTACAATAGATATACAATAGAATGACATTAGATTTATTGTTGTGTTGGTTCTCTTATGATTAGTGGAGTGTTTAGCAGTGATGTTGTACATATTGTAAAATCATCAGACTCTGCTTCACTGGAATAAAACTGCTTATGAAAAATCTTTTGTGGCTTATTCTGCCACTGATTTCCTGGACTCACCTGGACAGGTGTGGTTCCTGACAGCGATGACATCATCACTTGGTGAACAGGCCTACAGAGGTGGCAACAAACTGCTGAGTTTGATTTCACTACTGTACTGAACAGCTGAGAGGAGCGAGGGTTAAAGAGCTGATCACAAATGACATTTTATTCTGATCACGTGATCTGAATTCTCCTGCTTCAAATGAATCAGTCTGATGGGAACTGATCAATAAATTGAAGTTAATGAGATAGAAACGCTGAGCTTTATTGACAGAGAGGCTGTTAGAGCTGCATGTTTATTAGATCATCTCCTTTTCATTCAGTCTAAGAGGAAACTAGTCTGTCGTCACACACCTGTCCTGTAATACCTGCAGGTGTAACAGCAGCAGATCTCAGGTCAGTGAACCGAGTCTCTGCTGTAGAGACATGCAGATCTCTTCACACTCACAGGACAATGCAGCGGTTTTATGGCGGGGTCACATCTGCTGCGGGATAATGGCAGGGGTAAGCCAAATGGAACATGAAGGATGTGTGTGTGTGTGGGCGTGCGCTCGTGCACGTGTGGTTGGAAAGGGGGGGGACTAATGAGTCTCCTATGAGCTATTATCCGTACCTTAGCTCCGCACTCTGCAATAATAAAAGCTGCAAAGCTCCCTAACACAACACAATAGACAACAACACATAACACAACAACACACAATACACACTTCACAACAACACAATACACAATACAAAACACTACACACAACACAACACAACACAACACAACACAACACGTACACAAAAACACAAACACAACAACACAATAACACTCCTCTGATGCAGCTGATGAAACTTCCAGTTCTTCTGTAACAGGTGACGTGTTTGAGGGCCAGGTGGACTCGCTCAGGTGGACTCTGGGTGTTTGTGAATGGTTCCCGCGCTGTTACTCACACGGTCCTCTGGGGTCAGGATATCTACAGCCGCTCTGCGGAGTCTCCCTCTGTCTGACCACTGAGCCAATTATGCGTCAGAGCGCAGTGTGATCCGCTCACACCCGGACCTGTTCGTGTTCTGGTGGATCTGTGTGTTCACCGGTTCTTTAGATGAAAGTGTCTGACAGAGTGTTAATCACAGGGACCGTGTTATTGCATGTGGACCTTTTGTTTCATGGCAGAAAGTTGAGGGGGTGGGGGGAGGGTGGGGGGTTGAGCCGTGCTGTAATCCCGTGGAGTGAAGAGGATATTAGAGCTGTATTCGTCTCCAGGGTGGGTGAGGAGGTGGACGCAAATCCTGGGTGTTACACACGAACTAGTTCCTCTGGTTGATCAGAGACTGACTGGTTGGCTGGTTCCGGCGGCCCGACGCGCTCCTGGCGCGCAGCATGAAGGGGGAGGAGAGAGGAGCACACTGACAGAGACTCCGCTGAGTTCACAGTGTGTTCACGGCGGTGGAGTATGACGGGCCGAGAGCTGAACTTGTGGTAGAATGGCACCGTATCTCACATGGATCTCTGAGGGATGGCAGCTTTCCACCACCACCACCACCACCTCCTCCACCCGAGCGCGGACCTGCGGCGGCTCTTCCACCGGCTCACCATCGCCTCCTCTCTGAGCATCCTCTGCTTCTCCCTGGTCTACCTCCTCACTGGATGCTGCGAGTCCGAGCTGACAGAGACCTCTGAGCTCAAGACCCCCACGCGTGAATTCCTCGTGTCGTGGTCAGGATGGCCGCACGGGAGAAACGGAACCAGCGCAGCCCAGGAGGGACTCAGCGCTGCTGCTGGCGAGGGCGCGCTAAGCGGCCACCCCGGGCTGGAGGCGAACAGCTCGGGAAAGGAGTGGACGGCCACCCGGCGGTTACCCCAGGCTCTGATCATAGGGGTTAAAAAGGGAGGCACCAGGGCTCTGCTGGAGTTCCTGCGGCTCCACCCGGACATCCGAGCCCTGGGGTCCGAGCCGCACTTCTTCGACCGGCATTACGCACGGGGACTGGACTGGTACAGGTACGCACGCATTACGCAGCGAATCCACCTGACACTGAGTGTTCAGAGTGTTCTGCTCTTTCATGATTTTTTTTTCTCTTTAATAATCGGATTAATTTTTAATTAAGAGGAAATGTGTTTTATTCTGGATGAAACACATTTTTTTAGTGTCTGAATAAGAAGCACATAGTGATGGACTCTCCTTATCATTTAAATCATGGACTTTGATTTGAGTCCTGCTTCCTGTCTGAATCCTGTGCACTGAGAGGTTTTTATGTGACTGCAGCAGCCAATTAGAAACCTCCAGCCTCCAGTAGGAGAAATGAATCTCTTTGTGTTGTTTGCATACCCAGACATATCCACAGCTATTCCGCTGAGGTTTAGGTGACAGTCAAAGAGACTCTGCCATCTGGCTCTGCCAATCTGTGCATGTGTGTGCCTGCAGTGCTGTGTGTGTGTGTGTGTGTGTGTGTGTGTGTACAGAATGGAAGATGAGAGAGAGCGGGGCCTTGCAGGATGAGTCCTCACAGAGCGGCAGAGTAATCATCTCTGGAGCCGCAGACAGATGTTACTGTTGTCATGTGGCTCTGGTCTCAGCCTGTTCCATGAAAACTTGGAAATACTCAGAACACACGCACACATGAGCGAGGTCCAGAGGAGCCGGTCTCACATGATTCAACTCGCTCTCAACGAGCTGAGAGCAATTAGTGAAGATGAGGTAAAGGTAGGATCCACTGCAGACCCAGAGTCCAGATCTCTGGGCCTCAGTCTGCTGTGTGGACTGGGGATAGACACAGGATATATATGATATATACCGTTAGTGTTTCTGAATAAGATTGTGTCAAGTATCTACTGATGAACAGTAATGTTAGCTTTTTTCTAACTTAACCTTAAGTTACAGTTGAGCTAACTAGTGTTAGCTAGTTTCTAACTTTAGCCTTAAGTTACAGTTGCGCTAACTAGTGTTAGCTAGTTTCTAATTTTAGCCTTAAGTTACACTTTAGCTAAGTAGTGTTAGCTAGTTTCTAACTTTAGCCTTAAGTTACACTTTAGCTAACTAGTTTCTAACTTTAGCTTTAAATTACAGTTTAGGTAACTAATGTCAGATAGTTTCTAACTTAGCTAGCTGATAGCACGCCCTTTCATTTCCAGTTTTAGCTTGTCATAAATAATCTAATGTTAGCAAACACTGGTTCTCAGTCATGAGCAGTGAGACAATGGAAGATTAGTTGTTGTAGAGACATGTTTTCACATCAATATGGAATTTATTATTTTATCTTAATGGTCTTTTATGTGGCTGTGGTGGTTTAGTTAGTATTTTGTAATGGTGAATGTCACTGACTGACTGACTGAGTGATCATATTTCCACCAGTGATCATCCAAATGCCACGTGAGAGGAAATATTGTTCTTTCTACTCGATTACATTTATTTGACAACTGAAGTTAAACAAACGAGATACTGTGAGGACTGTAACACCTCAGTTCACTGAAGCATGTGCCTGCGATGTTCTGGGTTTCCTTTCACCTTGGAGAAAAATTTGACGCCCCCTGATTGTCATTGTATAATTTGCACTGTGCCTATAGACTCAGAAACTGCTCCAGATATGACAGATTAAACATGCATCCAAATCTGGACTGTGCTGTTAACCAGCTTACACTTTATTACTGGGGCTCAGTGGTGGCGTGGGCTCAGCTCTGGAGCCTGTTTGGCAAGTCAGCAGCAGTTTAACCTATGACAGAGATAAAGGATGAATCTCTGCTTCCTGGATGGTGTTTATATGTTGACACACCGTCATGTCAGAGCTGTAGGATGCAGCAAGCCTCTGTTTCCTGTCCTGTGTGTGTGCAACACCAGGTGATGTGACTGTGACACCAGATTGCCACGTCCCCCCCCCCCCAGGCCAGATGGGGCTCGCTGCGTGTCGAGCCACTTGACATCGCTGTCAGCTCTGTCAATTGACCTCTGGCTCCAGGTCACTTTACGCTGGGAGTTAATGATGTGTTCACACCACTTCATAACAAACAGCACACACACACACACACACACACAGCTCACACACACTGACACAGGAGACGTCTTTGTTCTGGTTCCTTCGCTGAAAAATACAAAGAATATTTTCTTACAACTTTACAGCAGAAATAAACATGTTTGCAGCCTGGTACAAAAACAAACCAATTTCCTCCTTCATGACACCTGTTTATATAACTCACCTGTTTAAATTTTATTAAGGACTAAAGTTATGGAGAATTGAGGGCGTGGCCTCTTTGAGTGACAGGTGGGTGAGTGTATGCGCCAAAGTCTCAGCGCCACACACGCCCCACCTCTTTGACCATTTTTGAATTAGCTGGGAGTCAGGAGCGGAGTCAGGCACTGCCAAGGTGGTGACGGTGGGGCAGCTCACTCTGAGCTTCAGAAACATGTGGGTGATGTCATAAATATAATAATGATGCCGTTCACTTTAGTTTTATCTAACCTGTTTCAAACCTCAGATTTCCAGCCTGTGGTCACATTCTCTTATTTCAGATATTTGTTTAGTAAGTGTCAATATCGCTGATTTGAATTATGACCAAAGTCAGAAAATCCAGCCCAGGTTTTTTAATAAAGCAGAATTATTTTGTGTTTCCTGATCACACAGTAAACTGAGGGTCAGCTGTGGTGTTTACTGACATCACGTTTCTCTATAGAACGAGATGTGGTTCGTCTTCGACCGACCGGCTCCTCGTCTCTCCGGGAGTGAAATAACATTTAGCTTCACCGGGCCAATTGAGATCAGAGCCACTGACAAAGATCCTCTAATAGTGTTTGCAGCGGAGATTGGATCTGGAGGAGCGCTGCCGTGAGCCTGAGACGGGCTGGAAGTTTCCTCCTGCGTGCTGTCTGGGATCGATAGATCTATCTCCTCGCTCTGACCTTGGGTTACCTCCAGCATTAGAGCAGTTAGCGTTGGTCAGCTCGGCTTCTGTTACAATTAGCAGGAAGCTTTATCCTACATTGGCATACCCACCCCCCCCCGCCCTGCACACTGGAGTCATGTTGCACACAGCTTCCTCTCTCTCTGCAAAAGCTCTGGAGGAATCCATTAAAATTACTCAGCTGGAAATTCACATCTCACTCCTGATGGCCTCTCGCAGAGAGACGGATGACAGGTGCATGTGAAATACACAGGAGGGATAAATTAGAGAGTAGGAGATAAGACTGTGGGTGAGCTCGAGGTTAAAGGGTGAAGTCAGTGTTACCACAACCTCACACATCTCTGCTGACCTTTGCTTCAACCCGGGCGACTGACATCAGAGCTGGGCCTGTGTGTGTGTGTGTGTGTGTGTGTGTGTGTGTGTGTGTGTGTGTGTGTGTGTGTGTGTGTGTGTGTAAATGCTGACTTCTCCAGGTTCTGTCACAGTCTGGAGACTGCTCGTCCTCCAGACAGGGAGGCTGGTTGTATTTTGCTCTTGAGGTGCAGTGAGATTTATCGATATATTATCGACTCTGAGTTACCAGCACAGCTTCAACCTGAGAGGCTGCACCGTCAGTGTTTTCTGCTGCTGTTCATTTCCAAGAAATCACATTTTTCAAAAACAGCAGTGAACACAACACGAGACAAGACCTGAGGTCTGAACTACGAAACCAGTTCAACATATCCGGGATAACTGTCTGTTTGTCCGTGCAGTTAACCCTGAGTTTACCTGTCCAGGTACGAGCCCGATCGTACTTTATTCTATAGTCTGATGATGAGCAAACTGTTATGAACATGTGATCCAGTTAAAATAATATGAGACTTGTTTCTGCTGCAGAGAGGAGAGGAAGGAAAGAGAGGTAGTCGATGTCTGATGAGTCAGTCTGACTGAAATGTTCTCTTCATATTGTTCTTGAGCTGCAGTGATGAAGAGAGTGAAATCATCATCAATGTCAGGAATCCTGTCGATTGATTAAAGAATCTGAATTCGGTTCAATTGAAGCTCTAATAGTTATTATATACAGGCTGACGAGAGCCAATCAGGAGCGACCGTGGGTGTCTACATCATCGTTTCCAAAGGTCCAGTGTGGACACCGGGAGTAAATGAAAACACAGGGTGGATGTCGACTAATTCAAGTTTTCTGTTTATTCATTTATTCTGTTCAGTCTCGAGCTGCTGTCGTCTGATGCGCAGGCTGAACTTCCTGAACCTGTATGTTGGATGATTTCATGAGGCCTCAGGTTGATTTAATTTACAGACACAATGAGGGACGTCATGACTCCGTCTCTTCAGAGTCATCTGCTGCGACTGATTTGCAATTCATATTGAACTCGTTACGGGAGGCTTTTAAATTCATACCCACACATCGACGGCTTTGTCCTGCCGTGACACAGCACATGGTGCTACTTGTGTTTTTGTGTCGGTACAATGGAAAATAATTGCCATGCAAATCACAGAAGAATAGCTGCCAAAACATTGGATGTTCAGCAGGATTCGGTGGGCGGGAGTTAGCCACAAACACGAAGGGCGGATTTCTGATGAATCAGATTTATTGACCTGCAGGAGGGAAAGTAAGAGGTGTCAAATATTTGATATTTTTTAATTTATATATTTTATAATTTAGCATTTTTGCTTGTTTTTCCGCTGTGAGACAACATGCTAAAGACTGAAACAGTTAAAGCTTTAAGAACAGATTTGATTTGGCTGTGAAGGTTTTGTTTGCTGTGTGTGGAGCTGGGGTTCAGGTGCGCTCCGTCCAGCCCCAGTACTGTACTGGAAGTGATCACCATGAGGCCCAGATGGGTGGGGCGATCTGGCCCCTCATTAAGGCCCTCCCCTGGGGCCTGGAGAGCAAAGGCGGGGGGTCTGGGGACCCTCTATGATGGATGTCTCCTGGAAGTGGACGGGGCACAGCCGCAAATGCACAAATCTCATATTTGACTCACAAATAAACAGTCAGGTGTGAATAATGAACACAGTCAGTAATCTGCGCCGTGATTGGCTGCTGTTTCCTCCTCGGATCAAACATCACAGAACACACACACACACACACACTCATCACATGACACAACATGCTCCTGATGGGGCTCCAGAGGATCCTGGCTCTCCCAGGATCCACCTGCCCCTCTCGGCCTCAGCTGAGGTCCAGAGTCTCTGCTCCGACATTCATACTAACACCATCACACCGCAGTCTCTCATCCCAACACCCATCATCCCTCCTGTTCCCGCTGTACTCCATCCACATCCGCCTACGTGTAGTTAGCCTAAGCCCCCACAGGATCAATAGCCAGTGGCCTTGGCTGGCCCGAGGTGATTCACCAGGGAGCGGCTGAGATATTGGGAATTGGACGACAAAAGAGAGGTCCCTCAAAGGCAAGCAGAGGCTTATTATAAGCTGCTGGATAATCCCTGTGTTCATCATCCTGGATGTTTGATCTCACACTCAGTGGTAAATGAGCAGTGTAAGGATGTTACTGAAACAGGCTTTTTAAACTGCCAATTAATTCAGCCATCTTTTCTTTTTTGGAGGGATTTCCTCTCGAACACATGGTGCCGCCTGCCAGGCGCTTCTCTTCAAATTCAGCTGTCAGCTGGTGGAAGTCACTTTACTGTAAGATATGTGACTCCAGACCACGTGGGCCACAGTGAGAGAGCGGCATCAGCTGGAGCCCTGGACGCTTCCCATCAAACAAACAGTAACTGAGGGGTAAACAGTGTAAAGTTCACCAGTCTGGATACATCTTATTTTATTTATTTATGTGTTTATTTGATAGGGGCAATGCATGTTATTCAGTTTTAATCCATAAACCTGAAGTTACTAAATCTATAAAACAACTAAAAATAAATAATGAATATTGATCTGTTAAACAAACTGTTCCTTTTTATATTTTTCGTGTCAATTTATTCATTCACGACCTTGGCATCATAAACTTTTTTAAAAGCTGTTTTCCATGCATAAAATCTGGGTCTAGTGAAGCTAACATAATGCTAACTAGGCTACATGCACCAAATCATAAAGGAAAATATTAGAAGCCGATGAGTCCGTTTCAACCACAGACTGTAAATAAAGATGGCAAGGCTCTGTGACGTCACCCACAGGTTTCTGAAGCTCAGAGTGAGCTGCTCCACCGTCGCCATCTTGGCAGTGCCTGACTCCGCCCACTAACTCCCAGCTAATCCAATGGTCAAAGAGGTGGGGCATGTGTGGAGCTGAGACTTAGTGCATGCTGGCTTGTAGCAAACATACGCTCACCCACCAGTCACTCAAAGAGGCCACGCCCTCAGTCCTCCGTAACTGTAGTCCTTAATAAAATGTAAACAGGTGAGTTATATGAACAGGTGTCATGAAGGAAGAAATTAGCTCTAGAGACCAAAACAGTTTTAATACCAGGCTGTAAACATGTTGATTTCTGCTGTAAAGTTGGACATTTTAACATGGGAGTCTATGGGGACTGACTCACTGTTGGAGCCAGACTCTAGTGGCCATTAGAGGAACTGCAGCTTCTGGTTCTTCAGTGTTGATACCTCATGTTTCAGCCCTGGAGGTTGATGGCTGGTTTCAACACTTTACATAGTGTGAGGCTAAAATTGACAGTATATAGAGATAGGTATCATCACTTTCAATATCACTACCTTGACTTCAATACTGATTCTTAACGATACTTTCTTCAACACCAATTTTATCAATTTAATCAAATCCATTTTAAGAAAAACAAAATTACAGCACACATTTTCGTTTTACTAACTAAACTTAGTTTTACTTTAGTTTTATTTTTAAGCTTGGTCTCGAACTTATTCATGTAAACAAACAGCCAATCAGCAGCATTATTAGATATTGGTCCAAGCATGCTGCGTGCTGATTGGCTCACTGACGCTGATTAGATTTACTCATTTCCTCCTTAGATATCGAATAACAAGACATTTTACGATCCTTGAGATCAAACCAATTCAGTTGATCCATAAAAGTATCGTATACAGTATATATATATATATATATATACATATATCCTACTAACTTTATTGTATGAATTAATGGAGCAGAATTCCTCTGCTTCTTCTTTGGCTCACGACTGAGTCAACATTATGAGTGAAACGTTGCATAACTCAAACAGCAGCCTTCCTTTATCTGGGCTGAAGTCACAGACGTGTCCCCGGGATCACAAAGTGTTCTCCGCCAAAACCAGGATAAAGGCTTATTTAGTTGTTAGAAAAACTAACAGCTATTTTGTTTGTCAATTAGTGCGTCTGTGCAAAGATGCATCTTTGCAAAGGAGCTCTTCTTTTGATGGGGCTCTCAGGGGCCAGTAATTAGCTCTTTGTGCTGTGCTAATGCTACGAGGCTCCGGGCCAACAGCAGATTGCTAATGGAGGCACGTTTGTGTCCACTCCCATCATTCCTTCATCAGTCACCCACCCCCTTCATTTAAAACACACACACACACACACACACACACACTCTTTAAAGGGTGTAGTAAAATCCACACCCATCCTTTATGTCTTCAGAGTGTTTGTGTATAGAGTGTGTGTGTGTGTGTGTGTGTGTGTGTGTGTGTGTGTGTGTGTGTGTGTGTTAGACTGTGAGAGACAGCCCACTGAGAGAGACCAGAAGCATGATAGCAATTGCTTGACTAATGAGTGAATAATGAGTGTATGTTTTTGTTTTGCTGTGTGTGTGTGTGTGTGTGTGTGTGTGTGTGTGTGTGTGTGTGTGTGTGTAACAGATTGAGCAGCTGATCAGGATATTGGAGTTAAAAGGTAAATCTTCAGGCTCAGTTGTGGTGAGCGCTGCCAATTAGATCAATGTGTGTGTGTGTGTGTGTGTGTGTGTGTATCATAAAAGTGGGGGCCGTTTTTTTTGGGGGGGTGTATGTATTGACAGGAGGTCATGTTTCAGGCTCATCTGAAACCTGAGCTGATACCAGAGGACAGTCAGAGCATCTCGTCCTCATTGTGTCTCCTCCTCTCTCCTCTGTCCTCCTCTGTCCTCTGTCCTCCTCTGTCCTCCTCTGTCCTCCTCTCTCCTCTGTCCTCCTCTGTCCTCCTCTCTCCTCCTCTCTCCTCTGTCCTCCTCTCTCCTCCTCTGTCCTCCTCCTCTCTCTGTCCTTCTTTGATTAACATCTCATTTATAAAATCCTCCGGAACATTTTTATCGACTCTGTTTTGTCACACGTCCGTAAAACGGGAGACGACATAAAAACAAGGTCACCTCGGAGCTCGCTCAGTTTTCTCCTCATGAGACAAGAACAAACTGAAAAAGTAAAAACTAATTTTCTCATTTTTTATAACTTCATGTTATTAATGGATCAAATGACTGTTTACAATGTGAAAGCGATGTAGAGGATTATCTCCAGCCTGTGCAGCCTGCCTTCAGAAGTATAGTGTTCATGATTTAAAGTTGATTATATACAGTTTTCTACTCTGGGTCTCTAAGCTCCATTTAAACAAGATGAGATGCTGATTCAGAGCTGAGGCTCCCTGCTGCTGAGGCTGTGTGTGTGTGCAGTCAGTCAGTCAGGTGTGTGGCAGGTGTGTTGGCAGATGTCCCTGAGTCTCCAGATGGTCCTGTGGGGCCTCTGGAGTCATTTATCTCTAAACGAGTCCCATCTGCTGAGCTTCTGCTGCGGAGGTGGAGGTGAACAGAACGAGACGCTTTCAAGGAAACCCTGTGTTTATGTAGCGCTGCTGTCACCTGACTGTCTGTCACCTGACTGTCACCTGTCACTGGAGGTCGACTGTACGAACACTCACTGATCAGACTCTCAGAGTGGTGTGTGTCAAAGTAACCTGAGTGTGTGTGTGTGTGTGTGTGTGTGTGTGTGTGTGTGTGTGTGTGTGTGTGTGTGTGGCAAATACCTGTATCATTAAATTCTTAATTTCCCTCTGAATTCCCCTTTAGTCAGTTGCAAAGTTTTAAAGCTAAGCTAATAGCTAATGATTTAACATTTAATTTCAAATACATTCAAATATAAACAATAATTTCATTCAAATACTTGATATGATCGATACCACTTAGTTTGAATACAGACAAAAGCCATGAGAGGCAGGGGTAAACAGCTAGCCTAGCTTAGCACAAAAACTGGAAGCAGGGGTAAACAACTAGCCTAGCTTAGCACAAAAACTGGAAGCAGGGGAAAACAACTAGCCTGGCTCTGTCCTAAGGTCTAGCTGCACTTCTGAAGGTCACTTAATAAAAACAATGTTGTATACGTATTTGTTTTCCGAATTCATGCTAAGCTAAGCTAACCCTCTCCTGGCTCCAACTTTATATTTCCCAGACAGATAGTGAGTAGTTTCAATCTTCTTCTCAAACATTCATTAAAAAAGCAACATGAGTGTATTTTTTTTATTTAGGTGAATAATTAATTTCTCTATATTCCACTTTGTTATTAAGCTTCTTCACTAGGTCTTAAATAAAATAAAGTTCCTGATCATAAAATAAAGTTCAGCGGTTCTGTTTGTACAGATTACATTAATGATAAATGTCAAACAGATGTAGAAATGTGATTGTTTTTACTCGTCTTCCTTGTAATCTGCCTGTTACATCACAGTTTAATGCTGCCTGCATCATATCAGCATCATACTATTGAAAATGTATATGAGGTCATCTGTAGCGGCGGACAGTAACCAGCCAGTAATGTGTTTATTGACGTAAGTGTTTTTCCTACAATTCTAGGAGTATGATGCCCAAAGCCCTGGACGGTCAGATCGTTATGGAGAAGACGCCTCGTTACTTTGTTACCGTGGAAACGCCGGAACGGGTCCACTCCATGTCGCAGGACGTGAAGCTGATCGTGGTCGTCCGTGACCCCGTGACCCGAGCCATATCGGACTACACACAGATCATCTCCAAGACCCCCAACATCCCCCCATTCGAGAGCCTCGTCTTCAAGAACCACAGCACAGGTACGACGTGACTCTGGGGTCAAGGCGTTTGAGGGGAAATCGTCTTTTCCTGGGTTCAAATAAAAACCGCCTTCTGAGGAAATGTCACTTTTGTGGTTATTTCTCCCTGTTACACAAACAGGAGCTGCAGGTGGTGAATTCGGTTTATTTCTAATGCTGCCAAAACAAATGTTGGCTACACCAATAAATGAGTCTCAGGTTGTAGCCCACAGATAACTGACTGACTCTGCTGTAACATCATGTTTTGTGTTTACAGCCCACAAACTGTGGCGTGATTGTCCCACAATTCATAGGGAGACAAAGAATAATAATAATAACAGGAGTCAGTGTCAGGCGTCCGGACTGGACCGATAAGAGTTTAAATGTAAAAGATGGATGAGGGTCTGAGATCACAGTGACAACAGCAGTGATGGTTTTCTGGTTCCTGTCTTTCTGTCTCCAGGTCAGATCGACTCTCTGTGGAGCCCACTGTGGATCGGCCTGTACGCCCAGCACCTGGAGCGCTGGCTCACCTGGTTCCCCAGGACTCAGATCCACCTGGTCAGCGGCGAGAGGCTCATCTCCGACCCGGCCGGAGAACTGGGCAGAGTCCAGGACTTCCTGGGTCTCCAGCGGATCGTCACGGACAAACACTTCTACTTCAACAAAACGAAAGGCTTCCCCTGCCTGAAGAAGCCGGAGGGCAGCAGTAAACCTCACTGCCTGGGGAAGACGAAGGGAAGGACGCACGCCTCCATCGACCCGGAGGTGATGCAGAGACTGAGGGATTTCTACAAGCCTCACAACCAGCGCTTCTATCAGATGGTGGGTCAGGACTTCGGCTGGCAGTGACCCTGCCTTGTGTAGCATCTTCCATCCGACTGACGCAGATGCAAAGACTCGGAGAACAGCAGGTCCAGAGCTGCTGATCTGCCTCGGACCTGCAGAGCTGCATCTCAGAGACTCGATGAAAACAACCCAGTGTCAATACTTCACCTCCACCAATCAATTATCTTGTTCACGTGTCAATTTTATTATCATAGATGTTCAGTAAAGGAGGCGACTGCACCGACGGTTTGTGGTTTGTAACGAGGGCGTCCTCTCTCCAGGTGGTCTAATAAGGCACCCATCTTAAGACTGTGGTTGCCATTGGTTACCGCTGTATAAAGTCGATCGGTGAAATGCACAGTGTAACTCGTAGTGTCTCTGGTCTGCGGTTCAATCCTGTAGTTGGTAGGTCGTAACAGATGATGCATTTTCACACTCCTGTGTTTCCAGAACTTTCTTTTTCTACCTGTTTGTTTTTCACTCTCACCGGTTAATAATTTAAAGGCAATCAGTGCACACATCGTTAGTATCCAGTATTGTTCCCGAAAAAAGGGTGAGGGAGGGGGGATGGGTGGGAGGGGTGGGGGTGAGTCTTTAATGTGTCGGAGCAGCAGAGGGGTGAGAGAGAATCTTTATATGAGCTCAGATTTGACTGAGTGGTTTTTGTATTACTGAATAATGAATGTGGATAAATGGATGTAGGGGGAACTGGTGTGGACACCCGCCTCCTCGCCTGAAGGCACCACCGGAGGACAACTCGGACCCAGAGCGGGTCGACCTCTCCGGACGTGATGTGTGAAGCCGTTCAGGCTGCGCTGTGTTACTGTGACGGTCTGTTAACAGGGTGGTCTGTTTTCCGTTTGCATGTATTTGCACTAGTTTGAAAGCGTTAACAAAATAAAAGTATTTTTAAGCATAAACTTTTCTCACACTTCCTTCTGCTCACTGTTTATTATCCCATGTAGAAATGTAATATATGACATATACGTCACCTATAAGGGAATATATTATTATCACATATACATCCTCTGGATATATAAAGATATACGTTTATAATATATATGAAATATCTATAGTAGAATTTGTTTATGTACATTTATTAAAAATATCTACATGATTAATTTTTACACTTCTACATTATTCTAATTATACAATTCTATTTTTTTTATTCTATTCTCCTGTTTTAATATATTTTTTAAACATTTCTTTTCAATTTTAAACATGTATATCTTCCAATTCTCAGACTCTTTAATAATAATATCAACATATATTGACAAGCATTGAAGGTATACGTTTATAATACATATATGAAATAATCATAGTAAAACTTGTTTATGTGCAAATACTAAAAAGATCTATATGATGGATTTTTATATGGTACAATATTTTGAGACCATATATGTTAACATGATATATTTAATTTATATATGCAGGTTTATTAAAAGAACATACATATAAAAGTTTTGGACCCTCCTGTATATAGACTAATATCAACATATATTGACAAGCTTTGGGATGGATATATATCTATGTAACATCTATCTACCATATAAGCATACATACATAAACTACACATAAATATTGAATATGAAATTTCTAGTAGGTTTCATATATCATTTTATATGGAAATTCAATTTATGTACATGTATTACATTTGCATATGGGTTAAATGCTGTTATTTTAAGGTCTTAATGAGAAAGCTTTGGATTTACGTTGAAGAGCATCAGTGCAATTGCTTTGCAAATAAATTAATTTACATCAGATATAATAAGATGCAAACGCGTCCTGGAAAACCTGGGAGACGGTTGATCAGTTTACCAGTCATGGAAAACACAAGGGAAATAAGAGAAAAAGTGAAATGTCCTGGAAAATTATCTCAAAATGTCGTGAAGCTCGGAGCGGTGAGTGCTGGTTAATCTCGCTAATGACGTCACTTCCTGTCACTAGTCAAGAAGCTAAAGTATGATAAACTGATGAGAACCAGCTTTGAATCTACGGTTAGCTAAAGGAAAAAATTTGTTATAAATCAATAATGATGATAATAATGATACATTTTATTTATTTTATTTAAGTTCTTGTGATCAATTTGTCATAATTTCATAATTAATTAAACCTGTAAGAGATGCTGTCTGTCGTATGAGTCGGACTGCACTGAAAATGTTCTAGAAAATTTTTAAATGATAAATCAAATAAAATGTATATATATGTGTGTAGTTGGTGGGTTGAGAGAGAAGAGGCGTCAGTAACAGTGAGTAAACAGCGCCATCCTGTGGAAAATAAATTAAACTTTTGGGAAGAAGTGGAGCAGAAAGAGTAAAAACATGTTTCTTTATTATGATTCTCATTTACCTTTAAATTAAATCTTCTCATAGAAAGTTTTATTCATATTAATCATATATTACGTTTCAATTAATGACATCACACAAAAACTCTGACACACACACAAAGACAACAATCCAAGCCAGGGAATTTAAACTGACCAAATAAATAAATACACAAATATAATACACATTGTTTTTGAAATGCACATAAAAGTACTTTATATAACAACGACTTCATTCCAGCTCCATCAACACAGTCCACTGAACATAAAAGTCTTGACCATCAGGTAGATATCAACACAGAGAGCTGCTCCTCTCGCTCAGGAGTTTGGCAGTTTGCACAGACGACGACGTTTTTCTTCTGAAGCGGTGATCAGTCCGAGGAACAGCTCGGTTAATGTCGTGAGTGCAGAGCATGCTTGTTTCATCTGGAGCATGCTGCTTGGAGGTGAAGGCACTCAGCGCGGCCCCGCAGGCGTCCTCCACCCGTGTGACCGTGTGTGTGTGCGTGTGTGCGTGTGTGTGTGTGTACAGTCCGAACACTTACTCCACAGTAGCAGTAACACCATCCTCTCCACACAGCTTCACCCAGGTCTTCCAGTCCTCGTCTCCATCCTCGGTTTAACCCGTCACAGCAGCGTCTCTCAGAGGAGTAATGAGTGACCACAGCTGCAGAGCCACATGTGGCGCTGGCTCGGCACTACGGTTCTCACAAGTGCTTCACGTAGCATTTTAGCATCAACACATCAGTTCTGAGACATTAGTATAGTTTACAGCAGTGGTTCCCAACCTGCGGGCTGTGGCCCACTGGTGGGCCGTGCAGGTATTGCAAGTGGGCCGACAAATCATTTGCAGAACACAAGAATTTTGGTGAAAAAAGGAATAAAAAAATAAAAATACAACTTTAAAATGAAACAATAATTAAAAAATGATATAAAATGTTAAAAACTTATGTAGTTGCTGCCGGACCACATCGTCTACTTGTTTCTATCTCAGTGTGGTTGCGTGCTGAATGATCACATCCAGGGCAAAAACTGGAGAATGAAAAGGCCAGATGTGAGCAACAGTTAAATGGACAGAGACAGAAAGTGAACGGACAAAGAAAGAAAAACTGAGCTTCCTACATGTTTCCCCTGCTTTCATTTCAAATTGAATATTTGATCGTTATCATACTACGTATTGTTTACGAGGTCGGATGTGGGCCGCCGACATGTGACATTTTCAAGTGGGGCCCGAGTTGGAAAAGGTTGAGTGGACTGTATCTTCCATTTTACCCTGAATGAGGGAGTTCATGGGAGATTTATTTGGACAGCAGGAACAGAAGAGTTTATGGAGCCAGTTAAAGGTTACTGGAGAAAAGAATGTCCATTACAATCAGTGTCAAACCGTTCAGACATGATTTCAGTTCACATTCCAGACTTTGATTTAAATATGTTTGTATAACTTTTGGTTTCACCATGTTGAAATTCCAACACTGTCTCATTTCAGGGCACCTTAACGTTTGGGACATAGCAGCGATGGGTATATTAAAGCAGAATGCAATGACTGTCTGTGACTCATAGACACTAGCACAGCTCGTATCCTCATGTTGAACAACAGCAACTACAGACTGCAAAGAAACAAGCCCAGGTATCTTACACCTGCACTGACAAAGCGATGGAACGCACCTGAGTGATCACAAACACCTGTGGAGCCAAACGTCCCAAACATTGAGGTGCCCCTCAGGGCCTGTGTATAAAAAAAGTGTTGTAATTTCAACATGGTGAAATTGAAATGTATGAAATTACCTTTAAACTAAAGTGTGGAACATGAACTTTAATAATGCGTGAATGGTTTAATTTGAAATAGGACGCCGTGTATCTTCTTTGTCAAGTTGTACCTTCACCGGGGCTGTAACCAGGGTTTTAGTGATACTGAGGTAAAGAGATTTTATTTTATTCTTTAGGAATTAGAATTAATATTATTTTTAACCTGGTTCGGTTTCAGTAAAGACTGATTATAAAAAAAGTTTGTTAGTTCCCAAACAAGGAAACAGAGAAACAATATGATTTGGCAAAATAAATAATATGAATAATTATATCTTTTTACACTCTTTGGGGCTAAACAGCCAAACATTTTCCTCACAGGTTAGCGTGGACCAAAAGAGAGAATAAATGTTGGACTTAAATTTGTCAGGTTACCAGTAACATGAAAGCTAATGTTGCTCAAAGTCTGCTGAATGTTTAAATGGGCAGTTGTTTTAAATAGCTAACACATTAGCTTCATTAGCTTCAACTTCATACGTCACATGTGTTTTCCAGTGTCTTCGAAAGACGCAAGAATCTATTTAATGCAGCTTTAGGATGAAATTGTAAAATAAATTGAACATACAACCTGAATCTATAAAGACAGGCTCAACTGTTTAAATAAGCAGCTGTTTTAAAAAGCTAACACGTTAGCTATGTCAACTTTTGATAAGACCGTAATATGTCAAATTTGGAGTTCTGTCACCAAACGACTAAAAACCTGATTAATGCCGCTTTAAAAATCTCTCTCTCTCTGCTGTGGTCTCCTTTTGTTTACAGTAATTAACCATCATTATCAGACCGAACATTCACGACACACTGTCACTCCTCTAGCAGTACTCCTCCCCCTGCGGGTCGGGCAGGTCGTTGAGGTCCAGGAAGATGGAGGTGTTGGAGAGCTTGCGGCCGTTGGACGACAGGTCCAGCAGCTCCTCGGCGGTGCTCGGCACCGAGCTGATGTACATGTCCCAGACCTGCTCCGGAGAGTCCAGCTCCAGCAGCTTCTGCTTGATCTTCAGGTTCTTCTCGATGTTTCTGCGTTTGTGCTTGAACTCCAGGATGGTTTTGGTGTAGCGGTTGATGGTGGTGACGGAGGACGCCATGCAGGCTGTGAAAGAGCTCCACGCCAGACTAAAGTGAAGAGACACAAACAGGTTCAACCTCTTTCTTCAAATTGGTGCATTATTCATTAAAATACATACACAATAGATATCTGTACAATAGATTTCTGTCCATTATCAGGACATATGTTATATTATATGTTATATGTTATTTTCTGTGTAACAAACTACTCTTAAATAAACTGTGATCTTACCCAGTTCAATTAAAGCTGACGTGATCATTATATTATACGTTGATCAACAAAAATAAAATAACTCTGAATCAATCAAGTCTGAATTAATTAAGGTAATTAAAGTCATTTCAGCTCACAGGT